CTGGCAGTGCCTAAACTCCACGAAGACAGACAAGCAGCTTCTCTTAAACCATTTAAGCTCTGTTAACTGGGCCCACGTCTGCAGAGGTGTGGGGGGCACCTGTGTCCCCCCAGCCCAAAGCTAAAGGAGCCCAAAGCTGCTCAGCCTGGGCTGGGTGTCCTGGGTGTGTGCAAGAGCAGGACTTTGTCCTGTGGGCTCTGGCAGTGATCAGTGTTGGCTGTTACTGAGCCAAGACCCCGGGCGCTTGGGGATGCCTGCAGCTAGTCTAAACTAGCAAGTGCTCTGCATGCATGGAGTCCAGCTGGCTTGTCTGGGAGGGCACTGTGTGTCATCAAAGTGTGCCCTAATGTCTGGGCAGAGAGGCTTTGGGGCTGGCATTCCCCTGCTTGGATGGCTTCCCTGTGGGACTGCACACTCGGAGCTTGCACACAGAGTCATCACAGAATGGTTTGGACTGGAAGGGACCCCAAAGTTCCGACCCCCCTGCCAAGGGCAGGGATGCCACTGACTAGATCAGGTTGCTCCAAGCCCCATCCAACCTGTCCCTGAACACTTCCAGGGATGGAGCATCCACAGTTTCTCTGGGCAATCTGTGCCAGGGCCTCACCACCCTCTGAGAAGGAATTTCTTCCCACTGTCTAATCCAAATCTCTCCTCTTTTAGTTTAAAACCACTCCCAGTTGTCCTATCACTCTCTGCCTGCATAAAAACTTGCTCTCTCTTTTTCTGTAAGCCTCTTTAGGTACAGAAGGCTGCTCTAAGGTCTCCCCAAAGCCTTCTCTGCTTCAGGCTGGATGGTCCCAACTCTCTCAGCCTGCCTCCATAGAAGAGGTGCTGCAGCCCTTGGATCATCTCCGTGGCTTCCTCTGGTTCTGCTCTGACAGCTCCATGTCATTCCTGTGCTGAGGACCCCAGGCTGGGTTGCAGTACTGCAGGTGGGGTCTCGTGAGGGCAGAGGGGGAGAATCGCCTCCCTCGACAGGTCTGATGTGCGATTTTTCATATTTTTTTCATTTTTATTATTTCCCCCCAGCCCCCCTTCCCTTGTGGCACACGTGGGTGTTTGAGACCCCCAAGTGGGACCATTCTTCCTTCTGTCCCTATAAAACACTTCTGATGGGTAACTGCACGCCAAGGTTGCACGTGGCTCCGAACAAGATCTTGAATTGTAGCTGGAGACCCAGTAATTGAGTTGCTCCTGTTCCTTCAGATGGTGAGCGTGACCAGCTGTTGTTATGCAGTCTCTCCTCCCAGTCCTTCTGGGAAATCACACCGTGATTATATTTCTGGCTTAAGAAACTTTTTTTCCCCTAATCAGACTGGGCCTCACAAAGAGGTTGCCACTTAGTGGTAATTACTCGCTTTAGAAGCTGAATGTCTCCTGAGGATTGCAAATAGCGGATTATCAAATTAATTAGTTAAACCAAGATGTGCTTTTGTGAAGCCGAGACCTGCTTTACTTGTGATCTGAAATAAAGGTTTAAATGTCATTAAACTGCACACAACTGGCTCTTGTCTCCCTAATGGGGAGAGAGCCATTTCTTTCCTGAAGCGTTGTTGGTGCAAAGGGCTGCTTTCAGCTCTGCTTGCTGCAGCTCTTGTTGCTTTTCTTTCACAACAACATGTGAAAGAAATAGCAGAATGAAAGACAGCAGAATCTATCACTGGTTTTAGGGAACCTGCTTGTGTTTGTTTGGGTCTAATCTTCTTGGCGGCTTCCCATGCTTTTGTAGGCAACCTCCATAGGGCTGGACTTGGACTTTGATCCTGGTGGGTCCCTTCCAAGTGAGGATATTGTGTGAGGGTTCATGGTGGATAGCTTGGTGGGATTGTAATGTACCTTCCTTCAAACTGTACTCTCAGGGCACAGCTTAGTCCGTGGGGTATCTGCATTGCCATCTCTGTGGACACGGGAGCTGCCAGAGAACCCCAGTCTGGTGATGAGGTGCCTGGAAGTAGATCCAGAGGCATCCACTGTTCAGTGGGTTAGCAGGAGCTGTAGGTCCTGGAGTGCTGCTTTGCCACAGCCTGCTCCCAGGCTCTCCTTTCCCTTTGGAAGTCTCTGTGGCCGTAGGAAGTTCCCTGTGCTGAGGACAGCACCAGTGACCAGGCTAAATTAAAGTGGAGCTCATGGTGATATTTTCCTAAGAGCTGTTGGCCACTGTAGTGTAATCATCCCGCTAACATGCATATTGCACAACTTCCCCTAGGTCAGGAGATGTCCTTATCTGGCATCTAAAACATCTGTCCTGTGTTTCTTCCAGCATAGCTGAGTCCTATTCATAAAAGAATTGAGCATTTCCTGATTTGCAAAACTGAAAATAAGCAGAACTCTGCTGGTGTGGACTCAAAGGCAGAGGTCCTCTCCCTGCCTCCCACCTCTGTCTGCGCTCTCTCCCAGCTCCTGTGGGGCTCTGGGTTGTGGTGCTGCTTCAGGCACTTGAGAAATACTGCAGCACCAGAAACCAGATCAAGAAAAGGGGAGAGGGACAGAGGGGAAAGAGATGAGGGTCTGAAGTTTTCAGAACAGTTTTTGTACTGACCCCTCTCCCGCCTCCTTCTCTTTCAACCCTGGGGAGGCCCCACAGCCTTCAAAGTTTGGCTCCCCATCCCTCCTGATGTCAGCAGCTGCTGCCTTGTGCTGTGTTGCACCTCTGGGGCAGACTGTGCTTAGCAATACTCAGCAGCTGCCCAAGGCGGGTACCAAAGAGGTTCCCAGAGTGTAAAATTGCCCCCTCAGCCCATACAAAAGACCTGGGTCTGCTGGGTGGGAAGCTGGAGCACCCAGATCTCTGCCAGGGTGGATGACAGCAGCCTTTTGCAGCGGCTTCAGCAATCAAACCCACCCTGAGGAAAGCGCAGGCCTCGCACGAGGGCGAGGACACAGTGTGAGACTGTGCTGGGGAACAAGCTCAGCATTGTTGTCAGCCCCAGTCAAGAGGGGCTTTTTAACACCCACTGGAGTGCTGGCTACAGCTGTCCCCCATGTGCTTGTGTGGGAAACGGTTCTACAATGCAGGAGAAGAGGGAAAGGCCACTTTGCAATTAAAAAAAAAAAAAAAAAAGAAAGTCCATTAGGATGCAACCACGAGTAAACAGCAGTGAGATGTTCCCCTCAGTGCTGGGCCACGGCACAGGAAATCACGTCACTGCCTCCAACTGTGATGGGGGGGAGCTGAACTCGGGCTCCTCAGCCTGGAAATCCATATGGGGGAAGGTGCTCCTGAGCTTTGGGTGCAGTGTAGGAATGGGAGGAGGTGGGAGGTTGGGCTCCAAGCTTCTCCTGCGTTCAACAGCCCGTTCCCCCTCTGCCCCTGTAAATGTATGCCTGCAGCACCAGCTTCCTGCGTCCTCCTGAGTGGTGTTGGCTTGGGAGCCTGTGGAGAGCTTTCAGCTGTCGTGGAAAATGGGATATACTTCCACGGTGCCAGTGTAGCCTTGTGCAGATGGTGAAAGCTGTGGTCAGAGGCTCTGGGAGCCACGTTCCTCAGCCTCCTGCTATGACTGTGACGGAGAAAGAAAGGCTCTCCTGCATCCACAGACAGGATCCAAGATCTCAAGTGAGTTGTTACAGATGACAACAGCTGGGTAGTGCCTGTGCTGGGTTGCTGATACCTGTTGCAGTGGCAGGATGCTCTCCTTCACCCAGTTTGGGATCAGCAGTTGCTGCCTGCAGAGGCAGTGCTCTGCTGATGTGGGGAGGTGACTGGCTGTTTAGGCCACGGGGCAGCGTCTGCAGGCACAGGGTGTTTGCAGGCCAAGTGCTGACAGAGAGGCAGCTGCTCAGCTCTGGGCACTGTCAGTGCCACAGCCCCTTTTAGGAGGACTCTGCTTTTTCCTTAAGGAGGGCAAACTGCAACCCTTGCTGCCCACAGGAAACGCAGCAGCACGCTGAGCAGGGGTGGATTGAAGGGCTGGCTTTGGGGCTGCTCAGACCCTCAGTTGCTGGTCAGGTCTGGAAACATGCCCTGGTGAGGCCATCATGTGCAAGGAGGTTTTAGGGGCCGAGTGTTGGCAGTCCTGTCTGGGAAAGGAGTGTCCGAAGGTGGTCTTGAGCTGGACCAGCCTGCATGGGCTCTGTGGAGCAGAGCTGGGAAGGCTGTGGGGGTCTGCCCCCTGAGCCAAGGCAGCAGAGATGTTGGCAGCAGTCGCTCCAGCTTCATCAGGCAAGTACCCTGTGCTGCTCTGCTCAGCTTGTCCATGCAGGAGATGTTTCCCCTCCTGCTGTAGATATGAGTAACTCCTCCTCTTGGGATGGATTGGTTTGTGTAACCCCTCCCAGAAGTGGGGACAACCAAGTACCAGTACTGTGGATTCCTTGATGGAGGGTCAGCCTCCAGTGAGGCTGCCAAAACCATGCTCCGCTTGGTCTGGGGAAGCAGTTTCTGGTCCCAGGCCCTGCACCTCGTGCCCAGGGCTCCGAGGTTTTGCCAGTGTGTCACTTCCCGCCCTGCTTCCCGTTACACAAAGCCTTTGTTTGTCAGCAGATCCTGGGATGCCCCGCGGCACCTGCCTCTCTCCTCCCTCTCCGCCTCTGTGGCTCTGCCCTTTCCCGTTGTCACTTCTGTAGGCTGCTGCCTGCCTGTTTGGTGACCTTCCCCAGTGTTCGGGCACTGCTTTTGGCCCCTGGCCATCTTAAACAATTAATGGAGGGGTGGAGAAACTTGCCGTGTTAAATTACTTCCTCCTTTGGGAGGGGGTGAGGTCTCCACAATCTCCCTCCCGATCCCAATGCAGTTTGTTGCTGTTGCCTGAAGCGGTCACTGCTCTCTGTTTTCCTTCTAGAAGTTAGAAAAACAATATTTCAGAGCGCTCTCTCTGTGCTCCTCGTCGTTTTGCTTAACCTGCAGCGCTGCCTCGGGATCTCGCGGAGTGGAGAAACTTCTCCGGACTTAAGAGAAAAAAAACAAGCCAAGAGGAGGCGGCGGGCGTGGTGGTGGTGGCGGCGAGGGGTGTGTGTGGGGGGAGCATTTTGCTGGAAACCTCTTTTGGGAAGCTGGAAACCTTCTCGGGATGCCTGCCGTGGGCTTGTTCTCCTCTCGCAGCTCTTCAGATCTTCCCGGGCGAGGGCAGCTCCCTGCCACGACGCGCCTGCATTGAGCGGGTCTGTGCGGCGCTCCGAGGGCCGTGGATGTCGGCGATGCCGTAAGGAACAGCCCGGCAGCGCCTCTGGCTCTGCCCGTGTCCCCGAGGTCCCCGCAGGGCCGGGGGAAGCGGCACCCCGCTCCCGCTATGCCCCTCTGCCGTCTAGCGCTGGAGTTGGCTGTCAGAGAAACCTTCGAGGTCCCCTGCTCGGCCCCGGTAGTGTCATGAGTTAGATTAGTTGGAGCTGTGCTGGGGGCGGTGAGGGCTTGGATTACAGTCCAGAACTCAAAGTGCTTCGGTGGTTCACGTCGGAGGGGAGAGGAGACGCCCCGTCGCACACATGGAGGAAAAAGAGAAAAAACGCCGTCTCTGGAAGTGAGGGGCGATAAAGGAGGCCGGGAACATGGTAAGGAAATCTCTGCGAAGGGCTCTTGCCCTGGGCACGAGCAGGGCTGTGCGGGATGGAGCCGCTCCCGGGGCAGCCTCCCTGGAGCAGCGCACGGCGCTAACGCCGGGAGCGGGAAGCGTCTCCTTTGGCACTGCCCGGTACTCGGGTGGCTCCCCTTGGTGCCAGTCCCGAGCGGTGGCATCGGGGACACGGGGCTCTTGCTGGCACTGACCCCCTGAGAGGTGCCTGCCAGGGTGCAGCGCTGGAGCAGGAGCTGCGATGGAGCAGGTCAGGCAGGGCCCTGCCTTTGGGGCTGCCTGGGTGCTGTGCTGAGCTCTCCTCCTGCCCTCGCTCTTTGCCAGTCCTGCTGTGGGGCTGCGGGCACTGCCCCATTGCAGAGCCTGGAGAAGGGGAGAACATCGGCTTCTCCTGCCCAGGGTGGGCATCTGGGGGATCAGAGAGCCCCTGGAGCCCAGCAGGGACTCTTCCCTTCCAGTGCCAGGTTCTGCACGTGGAGATCCTTGCCTGGGGAGGGGTGAGGCTGGTGAGCCCAGCAAGCTGCAGAGTACCCAGTCTCCCTGGGAGTGGCTGCTGGGCTGTTGTCCCCTGCCCAGCCACGCTGATGCTGCCCTGCAAACTGGCAGCCTGGAGGGCTGGCAGAGGCTGGAGGGATTGCTGGCCCTGTGGTGAGATCCCACTGGGGGCACCAGCCTGGCTTCTGACCGTGGTTTACTCCTGGGCTCAGGCTCGGGCCCTGCAGTCCTGAGTGTCCTGGAGGTGACCTGCTGTGTCATGGGCTGCTTCCCCACAGCAGGGGGAACAAAGTCCGTGAGGGGCATAAGCAGCTTGCATTGCTGCTGTGCCTGGCAGTGATTTGCTCTTTTATCTTAAGAGTTCAGCTTCTGGGCCTGGAGCAGCTTGGCTTTCATTGAAGGATGCGTTGACCAACTTGTGGCTTCTGCAACCTGAGCTAACCTTGCAGACCCACGTCTTTTCCCTTTGCCACCCTCCAGCTACCCTGCAGAGGATTCTGTGGTGCTCTCTACCCTCACGTGCTGGTGTCAGAGCCATGGTGTGCTCTCTGCTCCCATCCTGCCATGGAGGCCTGCAGGCATCTCACTTCTTCCACTTCTCCATCCCCATCAGGAGACCTCTTTCCTTCCCCCTATGCCTTGTGTGTTCCTGGCAGTTTTTGACCTGTGCTGGTTAGTCTATGAAGTTGAAATCAAAGGAAAGCACTGTTTGGGGCTGTGCAGGGTGGAGGCCATCCCTTGCAGTCCTATGGGCTGTATTTTGCCATGAGGGCTGGAGCAGCACTTGTGAAACTCTGCTCTGGGAGGCCTGAGGCAGAGACCAGCTGCTGCTCCCTGCTCCTGCAAGCTGGAGGTGACTTTCTGATTCCCAAGTGCTTCATCCCAGGCTCAGGTCCTCCTTCATGTTGTCCTGATGAGTGATGCAAACGCTGTCTGAAGCAGGGTCCTTTGTGTGGAGCAGTGCCACAGCCAGTCCAGGTGCCGTGGTGGGTTGTGGGCGTGCAGGGACCACGGATCACTGCTGAGCAGAGACCATGTGCCCCTCAGGTGCTCAGAGCAGCTGGAAGGAGCAGGAACCAGAGGTTGAGCTGCCACAGACCCAGCAGTGGGTGCTGGCCACACTGCAGACACTTGTGGTCCATGGCAGATGTTTGTTCTCAGTGTTGAGCAGTCTGCATTTTGGGAGACGCGTTTCTCCGAGCGACCAAGTTGTGACTGCAGCTCCAAGCTGTTCTGTGTGAGGTTTTGATGTCCTGGGGAATCAAACAAACCCTGCAGGCAAAAAATACGGATCTCAGTGACTGTGTGTCAGTCTGCTGGCCTGCAAGAGGCTTTCCCCATTGGCTCCAGCAGTCTGCAGGACACTTGGAGGCCTTGGCTCCTGATGGAGGTCTGGCAAGGGACAGCTGCTGGCTGCCCTGCTCTGCCTGAGGCAGGTGACTCCTCTTCCTGGGGCTTCAGTGTTAGGGCTGATGTGGTGTGTGTACGAGTGCACAGGGTTGTGGCAGCTGGGGGATGCCTAAAGTAGCCCACTTCCACGAGAAGTGACTTTTGCAGCTGTGGAAACCCCGTGGTGTGAGCAAAGCAGGAGCCTGGCTGGGCTCTCTTTACCTTGCTCGTCCCATCGTGGCTTTTGTGACTGGGGATCTGCCCTCATTCCCTGGGAGGGAATGGGAGAGAGAAAGGGCTTCACCTCGCCTGGTGCTTCCTGCAGAGAAGTTCAGGTGGCACCTCTGTGCTGGCAGGAGAGAGGATGGGTTTCAGCAGAAAATCGGGTCTTTCTTTTATCCCCTGGTTATGTCTTCTCCCAGGGTGGGAAGGAAATGAGTCTGGGAATCACAAAGACCTTTAAGCATTGGGGATCTTCTTCCTTTATTTCTGTGCCAAAGCCATGAGTAAGATGTTGGAACGCAGACAAAGTCCAGACACATAATCCTGAGCACATGGAAGCGGTTTGAAAGCACCTCCTCTGGGGTAACAAGGGATGACAACTTGCATTTTGCCCAGCTTCTTTCCAAAAGCACCGGGGCAGGTGAACGTGCTGCTCGCTGTGGCAATAAAAACAATGGCTAAATGCGGGTCACAGGCCAGCTGCATCCAGGTATCTCCACCCAGGAATCACCACATGTGTTCTGGTACCACGTGGGAATGCCAGACAGCGAGTGCTCATGGTGAGATGCTGCAGGCATCCAAGGAGGACTCTGTGCTGAGTGTCAGCACTTATCTGCAGCAAACCAGCATCCTGTAGCTTGACCCCCTGTGGCCATGCTGCTGCCATCTTCCCCCAGGGGCAGTGGACCTGAGGGCATGCCCTGCTAAGCAGAAGAGATCACAGTGTGAGAGCCTTGTCAGCATCTTGCAACTGGTCACTTCAAACATGACAGCCAGCTTGTCTGCCTCTAAATACCAGAGCACAGGCACAGCCACTCAGCTCATGGAGCCTCATTTTCTGGTTCCATCTCAAACACAGCCCTGTCTGCAACTTGTCCATGCAAAACTCGAACCATCCTACAGGCTGTGTGCCTAAACCTGAGCAGTGGGGCCGAGTGTGGGTAGAAGTCACACCACAGGGGCTACAGGTCCCTTTAGCACCCAAGTGCTGAAAAAAAATCTCTGTTCAAACAGTTGTGTCTTCTGTGGAAACTATAAATGAACCCACCCTTGGGCACTCATATGAGAGCACCTTTGGTTCACATTCCTGGCTCCCTACCCAGGAGGGAACCCCCTGTTCCAGTCCTGCAGAGTTCAACGTCTCCAAGGCCTGAAAAAGGGAGTAGCAGCACCAGGATCAGACGTGTTGCTGCCTGAACAGCAACATAAAGCAAGGAGAGGCTGCTGGACCAAGCTGCTCAGCTCTAGCCATGGGATGCTCCGTACTGTCTGCACCACTCCTGGCACCGGGGCTGCAGCTCAGAGAAGTGAGTGGACGTGCCCTTGTTGACTCTGAAGGTTTGGCCATGCTAATTCCTCTCTGCCACACCGAGTGCCTCATCTCTGTTGGCTGGCCTGGTCTTTCATTAAAAAATTAACAGAAAAATGGGGCCTTTCTTGTGGTAAGTGCTCCTGGCTGGTTTCGTACGTATCCCATTTTTTGCATCGTTGGACACCAAGCTGAAACTTCCAAGATCAAAGCAGCACAGGACGAATCTGAAAGTCTTTCTGTCTGCTCAAATTTACCATTCTGCCATCAGGCTGGGAAGCCCAGGATGAACCCTTGCTCCAGCTGGTGCAACCAGACCCTTTTTTTTTTTGCATAGGATCAAATGGCTCAGCTGAAAAGGAGCGGGGACCAGGTGAAGGCTGGCACGTGCTCCCCCTGGACACTGGTGGATGTGGTAGGGGGGTCCTTGGTGGGGTCCTTATGGTCACCCCCAGTGGAATGTGGTGCTGTGGCCCCGTGGTGGTTTGTGGGGTGGTGCAGAGGAGGAAAGTTCTGGTGACCTGAGCTAGGTGTCCGCCTTGAGCTTTGCAGCCTGCCTGGGGTGGGGCAGAGGCTTCCTGAGCAGGTTCCTCCGGGAGGAGGAGACCTTCCCCGAGGCTGCCTGTCAGATCTCAGTGCCTCCCAACACAAACCCTGAGCCTCCAACGTGGTTAAAGGATGTGGGTTGTTTGCTGTCTGTTGTCATCTTGCTGAATACATTTACCTTTTGAACAAGGTCCCTCTCATATGCTCAGGAGGCTGGTATGCAGATCCGTTAATGGATCAAGGGGAAAAATGCCTGTGGATGTATTCTCCTTTGTGTTTGGGCTTATAACCACCCACGTTTTGGCATACATCCCTTCTGTGCACAAAGATCTTTTAGAAATTGCTAGTTAAATCTCCACCCTCCTTTGATATGTATGGAAATAATGGGACACGTGAGACTGTTTTCTGTTTGGAAAAAAAAAAAAGCTATAAAGAGAGTAGTTTTAAAAGCCTGTGTTCACCCCTTTCTAACTCAGGAGTTTAGTAAAAGCAGTGAATTTCTGACTGATTTACTCAGCTTTCCGGGAGGCATGCATTTAGTGCTGTGCCCAAAATAGAGGGGAAATGGTTTCATCTGACTCTGCCCCAGGCTTGGCTGCTCAGGGGCGGGAGAGCTTGAGCACACGTGTCTCTGTACCCAGTGAGCTTGGAGAGTCTTGGAGCAAATCTGGGTGCCTCTAACCAGGAGCACTTCTCCCTGCAGAGCACAGACTGCTGCTTCATGGCTGAACTGGCATAGCCATGGACATCTCTGGGCTGCCTGCTCTGCCCTTCTGGCTCGTCCTTCCTTACAGCCTCTTCCTCAGAGGTGGCATCTGGTTGCTGCTGCTGGCTCCTTTCTCATATCAGAGGTGTGCTGGGATGTTCTCCTCCAAGGAAGGTCCTTCTGCACTCACTCTTTTCTCTTGCTGGCCCCTCCTGGAGTGGCAGCTCCGCTTCAGAGCAGTTTCTGTTCCCCTCTGACACAGCAGGACTTGTGTTTCATTAGCACATGGTAATAGTGTGTCCTTTAAGGCCAA